CCCAGGAAAGAGTAGCTCTTACTCATACTTAATTCCATAAAAGTTAGCAACAATAGCAAGCTAGCCTGAGAAGATAAAGTTCACACTTGCTTTACATGCCTGAAATATTTCATCCACACATTCACTTTTTTTTTCTTTTCTTCTTTTTTTATTTCATTTTTTGAGAAGTTTTTGCTATAGGGTGCGTGTGCTTGTCAGAAAGACAGACAGAGACAGAGACAGAGACAGAAAGCAAGAAATCACCCCCCCACCCCCCGGGGGGATGGCCACACTGCAATCCCTTCTCCGTTCTCCTCTCAGGATCTTAGGCATACACACACATGCGCTTAGGGTGAGTTTAAGCCACTGGGTCCGGGACTTGAACCAGGTCGACCACATGGGAGACCAGCAACATAGCCATTACGCCAACTGCTGGACCCTCTTTTTCTTTTTTTAATACTTTAAAAAATATATATTTTTTTATCATTTATTTTTACATTTTCCCCAAACATTTACTTTACATATCAAAAAATTTTGCTCATACTACATAGTTCTTGACAGTTAATAAACAACTTTCAAAATTTAAAAAAAATGAATTTTAAAGATAATTTTTTTTTTTTGAGAGGTTTTATATCGCTATAGGGCGGTGCTTGCCAGACAGACAGAGAGAGACATAGAGACAGAAAGTGAGAAATCACCCCCCAGAGGGGATGGTCACGCCGCAATCCCTTCTCCTCCGTTCTCCTCTTGGGATCTTGGGCACGCGCACACACACACACACTCGGCGTGAGTTTTAAGCCACCGGGTTCGGGACGCGAACCGCAGTCGACTACATGGGAGTCCAGTGACATAGCCATTACGCTAACTGCTGCTTCCCAAAGATAATGTTTGAAATATTTGTTATAATTTTGTTTGTGACTCTGTAACAACAGAGACAATATGGTTTTAAATATTTTTGAGAAAATACATACATGTTAACTACTCAAACTGTTGTACAACAAACATCCAGCAAACTATTCACATATAAACTTTCTCAATTCAGCTCTGCCTACCTAGTATTATGTGATATACCATCCGCTAGCAAAGATCAGTCTTTTTCTTCCTTCAAAGTCTTCCTCAAGGTAATCCTCTGGTTGTGGCTGCCCTTTTGCAATCTCTACTGATTACAATGCTGGGCTGGAAAAGTCCACGTTATTTTATGGTACAAATTCTTTCATATAGCTTCTCTAATCCTCTCTGCCAGGTAGAACTGTTTATGGTGCCAGACCATCTTTCTAAGAGCTTCTGTTGGCTTACTTGTGATCTACCTTAGTTCCACAGTTTTCTTGTTTAATCTTCAGATATGACATTCCAGTCTAAGGCCTGTCCAATAACGAGTATTTGCAATTTCTGATTCAAGGCACATGTATTATTGACCTTATGCAGATATCCGTTCTACCACAGATAAGAATACTCCCAAATATTTTCCAATTCCAGATAGGTAGGAAGGGAGAAAAGTTTGTTTCTGTTTAAAGAAACAAACAAGAAGAAAAAACATTTTAACAAATTGCTGAACCTATCAACAGCTCAAAAGAAAGCAAAGTCCTTAAATTGGGAGAACAAAACAAAGTAAAAAAAATCGATAATGTTTTACTCAAAAGTCATGAAATTCTATCTCACCAATTCAGTCTTATTTCCTTTTTTTTTTTGGAGCGGTTTTTTTTTTTTTTTTTTTTTTTTTTTTGCTATAGGGTGTGTGCGCTCGCCAGACAGACAGAGAGAGACACAGAGACAGAAAGCTAGAAATCACCCCCCAGGGGGGATGGTCACGCCGCAATCCCCTCTCCTCCATTCTCCTCTTGGGACCTTGGGCATGCACGCACACGCGCCCGGCGTGAGTTCCAAGCCACTGGGTCCGGGACACGAACCGCGGTCGACTATGTGGGAATCCAGCGACATAGCCATTATGCTAACAGTTAGTTCCCACCAATTCAGTCTTATGTAATAAATCTCTTTTCTGCAGTATCACTGTGGTTCAATCTTCCCATTTAAATCCTGGAAGTTAACATTCAACATTATTATTGATATTTCTTGTCCTAAGCATTAAGTTGGTAATTTCCTTGGTTTCTCTTTGTTCTCTTATTTCTGTATATGTGTCGTTAGTTTTCTTGGTAAAGCATTCCTTTCAGAACTTCTTTTTTTTTTTTTTTTTGAGAGATTTTCACTGTAGGGCGCGTGCGCTTACCCCCCAGGGGGGATGGTCATGCCGCAATCCCTTCTCCTCCATTCTCCTCTTGGGATCTTGGGCACGCACACACACGTGCCCGGCGTGAGTTTTAAGCCACCAGGTCCGGGACATGAACCGCGGTCGACTACGTGGGAGTCCAGCGACATAGCCATTACGCTAACTGCTGGTTCCCCCTTTCAGAACTTCTTGAAGAGCTGGCCTGGTGTTGGTAAACTCTTTCAAGTTTTATCTGAGAATGTTTTTATCTTTTCTTCCCAAAAGGATAATCTTGCCAGGTATAGTATTCTTGGTTGAAATTGTTTTTTTCTTAACACTTTGTATGTATTTCCCCATTCTTTCCTTGCTTGCATTGTATCTGATGAGAGGTCTGATGTTAACCTCATGGGATAACCTTTATAAGCAGCACGATGTTTCTCTCTTGTCAATTTTAGTATCTTGTCTTTGTGGTTTTAGCCAATATGGGTATGATGTACCTTGGAGAAGGTCTTCTTGGGTTAATTCTATTAGGGGCCCTTTGTATTTCTTGGGTCTGAATCTTTGAATGCCTCTCTAAATTTGGAAAATATTCTTCAGGGATTTCATGTAATAGATTACCAATGCCCTTATTAGTTTCTTCACCTTCTGGGATACCAGTTATCTAGATGTATGGGTGCCTAATGGTATCTAGTATTGCTCATTTCTCATGTAATATTCTCATTTTTTGGGGTTATTTTCTCAGTTTTTTGGTTATTTTTTCTAGGTCAGAGGTTTTGTGTTCAACATCTGAGATTCGATCTTCTGCATGGACTAATATGCTTTTAATACTTTCGAGAGAGGTTTTAATCTCCTGTATTGCAGCCTTCATCTCTAATAGCACCATTTGATTCTTTTTATGGTGTATATTTCTTCTTTCAGATCACACAAGATCTTCCTCACCTCCTGAAACTTGTTTCTTTTCTCCTGCATCTTCTGGAGTTTCATTGTCTCTCAGCTCTTGCACTTCCTTTAGTTTAAAATATTCTGAATTCTCTATTGGACATTTCCACAAGTTCCACTGTACTGTCTGTGGATGATGAAGGATTGTTCTTTTCCTTAAGGGAGAAATAGTTTCTTGGTTTCTCATATTTCATATGCCTCTGCAGTGGTTTCTGGTCATTCTGTGACACAATCTCTCCTCTACTGTGTTTTGCAACGTGGTATCCACAGAAAGATTTGGAGTTCAGATTTATGAAAAGGACTTTCTTCCTTAAGGCAGGAGGTTCAATAAACATTGAAGATTTCAATTATTGTAAAAATATTCAGAGGCTTGTCTAGACACTCAGTGTGTGGAGACTGAACAGAGTGGGAAAGTAAGGTTAAAATAAATAAGTAAAAGCAAAAGAAAAAGGAAAGAAAAACAAACTAGATAAAAACAACCAAAAAAGAGAAAAAAATATTTTTTAAGGTAAAAAGTGAAAACTGCGGGGCTGCTATGGCCAGGACACACCTCAGATTTAAAATAGCTTCTGAAATTAGCATGAGAAAGAAAAGGCCTGAGGTGAGAAGTGTTTAAAAATTTTTTGAAAATAATAAAAAATAAATTTAAAGAGAGAGAGACACACAGAGGACAGAGAGGACAGAGGTTGCTCTACCTGTCTCAGTGTTTCCGGGGTCTAGAAGATAGGGTTTAGAGCATAGCTTCTGTCACCTTGGTCCCTGAACTAGTGCATTCACTTTCAAAATACAGACTAGAGTGGTATGCATTTTCTGGGAGTCATATTTGCATTTAGGGCCCATGCTTCTTTTCCTTTTTCTTTTTTGTCAAGAAAATCCCAGGTAGAAGCAACCAGGGGCTTCAAAAAGTTCATGGAAAATACGTAGTAGGAAAACAACTATGTGTGGATTTTCAAATCTTTTGCACCAACATAAGCTTGCAGTTTAACTCCATTTTCCAGTTAATTTTTGAAATTCCCCCTGGTATTTCTTGGGCATGGACACAGCCCAGAGGACTTTTACACAGTTACCTTTTTGGAAAACCATCCATTGTTGGATTCTGCCTATACTTGTTACTCCTTGAAAAAAATAATTTTATCCTGCAGTATAAAAAGCAAGTCCAGTAAGAAACTTAGAATCAGAACTTTATGTTCTTTTGTGATTTTACTGGAATTTTAAAAAGGATGCAAATTTAGATGAGAACTAAATGTACCAGAAGACCATGACACTTTAAATGAGCACGTAGTGACAAGGCACTGGTCTTTTAATGTTTACTACCTACTGTAAACACCTGGGATTATAGTGGTTTCCTGATACCAAGCTCTGGGAGCCTTGGGTGAAGTCTGGTAAGTACTTTACTAGCAGGCTAAGAGAGGCTCCCTAACTAGGTCAATAGGTCCCATTTAGTTACAGCAATTGTAGCCAGTGCCAAGGAATGTGTTCTTGCAGTCTCAAGTTTGCCTCTGGTTGAGGACAAGGGGACCGACTTGGACTTTCAAGTGTCCCTGTGGAGCGTGGTCGCAGGGCACGCCGGGAGGCTGATCCTCAGAAGCGAACCCTTTACCAAGATGGCATTGTCGCCCCAGCCGACGAGGGCGGCCATCTTGGTAAAGGCCAGAGCGGCGGCCTGCGCGGGGCTGACGCTGGCCGGGCTGCCAGGTTCACAGTGAGTGAGTGGCCAGGCTCGCCCCACGGATGCCGAGGCGGCGTGC